CGCTGCAACAGGACTAATTGGAGACAGAGTTAAACAAGTTAACTAGACCCCTCTGCAAGAATATCCCATGAACTTTTACATGGGTAAAACATGACTGAAGTTTGCTCTAGCTGTGTGTTGGTAGGTAAAGCCAGAATCTTTAGGGCAACTAGATCAATGGTTTTTAAAGTTAAAATTACCTTCACTTTATGTAGCTTAGCACCTTATATCACATATTTTGCCATAAACTACCATAATATTATGCAACACTGATACTTGGGCTTACAAAATGTGAAACAATGTAGTGACACCAAGTAAGAATTTTAACTGTGCTTACCATCTAGTTGTATATTCCAGTTTCAAACCAGCATAATACAAGAGGGGGAAAAAGAGGAACAAAAAAAAAAGGGCCTTTAGAACCCTCCTCATACTAAAAAAACCACTAATAGTTACTCAGTTACCTGCCAGACAAACCCTGAAGAGAGATACTAAAATCTTAACATTACATGCAGAAAGTAATGTAAAGCTGACATATCTTTGTTAAGCACCTTTCACCCTTTGTTACTGAAGTTTGTCAGTCTAAAAGAAAACACAAAGCCACTGCTAGTAAAGTTTGCAGTTAACTAAAACCATAAACAATTATGAAGATGAGCAACTGATCCACTGAAATCCCATCTGTCTGGTAAACTAAGCTATCTTGAGCAACATATTTTGTCATATCAAAACTCAACGCCAGTCATCAAAGACCCAAGACTAACACCGAGGACTTACATGTGTAAGTAAGGTTCACCGAAACTGGCTTCAAACCTCGAAAGCCATACACTTAAAAAGAGACTTCAAGAATCAGATAGGATATTCAACTTAATAGGCTCTTGTAGAAGCAACCCCTCAATGAAATAAACTACTCTGTCTGTATGGGCAAGGGACACAAATAGAAGAGAAGTGGATTTCTACTGCACCCAGTGCCAATATTTTCTGTATTTTCTGTTCTCTTGTCTAAAAGCTGCTAGAAAAATGAAAAAGGATCAGTAGAGTTCTGAGAATAACTCACAGTTTGGAAAGTTTGCTTTGAATTAAGAATATTGCTGAGCAAATATATATATATTTAAAAGCCACAGAAATCTTACTTGAATAGAGAGAGGTTTAGGCTAAATGGATTGTGCTCATGCACAGATTGCTCCTTTTCTCTGATTGGATCCTCATTTAAGCTGAGCCATCACTGAGCCTGCTTGTTCAGTCAGGCTACACCTGAAGCACACCATTTAGACACACATCCTAGCAGCACACCAGAACAAGATATAAATCATCTTTCCCAAAAGCCACTGGTAAAAAGCAGGATTATGAAATACCCTAATAATTTCTTAGTTGCACAACTGGAAAACCATGACTGCAGAATGTCCTCAAGTCCACTTGCCTTGCCTTCAACTACAACTCATTGACTTATCAGGTTCAACATACCTCAACTCTCCAATCTGCTTATTTTAGGGCTCAGACACACAAACAAGATAATCTGGTAAGATGAGCCCCAGTTGCTGTCTGTGCATCCACTTGTAGCCACAACAAATAGCAGGTGCATCTACTTTAGCTTTTTAGCTTCATCAGGGTTACCTTTTTTGAAGCAAGTTTCCCTATTATCCTGATTTATCTGATGTTGTTTCATAACATGGAAACTAAACTGCTTTCAGATTAAATCATAGGAGCAGATTTAGTACCTGCTACCTACCTGGCAAGGGGTCTCCAGGTGACAGAATGAAACTAGAGCTAGCTTAAAATAAAAACACTACAGCGTACACAGCACGAAGGCTGTGCACTCAGCACTGGCTTTCTCTACAAACTCCCTTCTTTGCCCCACACCAGCACGAGCATAGTCAATGTGTATTCCTCAGTTTATTAATTTTTCACTGGTTAAGAAACTGACTGAAGTTGCCATGTGCTGCAAACACCCATGATTACTCCAGCCAAAGCAGCACCCCACAGCTACCACCAACCCTTATAAGTTACTATCCCACGCTTTTCCCTCCCACATACCTGTGCCTTCGGGATGTGATCTCTCAATAACGTATGATAGCACTCAGACCTTATCCACCTGCAGTTTCCAGGCCTTCCTGAAGAGCCTTTGGAGAGCACCCAGTCCCTTGTTGAAGCAGCTTCTTGTAAATAGGTTCCAGACGAGAGACTGAGGAGTCCTGCACCAGCCCCCTGGCCTTTTGTCCTGGGAGCAGCACTGCTGCTGCTTGTGTGGGCTCGTACTGCACAGGTAGTTTCTGGCTGCCCTGTGGTGCTCAAATAACAGCACACATCTAGGCTAAGTTCTTCACAAAGGAACTTTCCCCTAAGATTAACATCTCTGTGGATATGAGAAATTGCTCAGCACTTGATATTTTAAGCAGCAAGGGGCACTCCTGATAGTGGAGGATTATGGATATAGGAGTAATCTGGGAACAGAAAGAAATAACATTCTTCAGCTAATCTGTCCAAGTAATCCAGTACTGTCTGCACCCCCAGCAACAGCGATCTATACCCATGAAATGAGAAAATAGTACAATGGCTCAGAATAACCTGAGGTCTTTATGTACAACTATCTATATACAACACATTAATACTGTTAAAAATTCAGGAGTCTAAAACTCCTTATGGGTAGAGCATGCACAGCATTGACTAAATTCAGTATACGTAGACAATGTTCAAATTTGGGAGGCATAGGTGTCTTTGGGGGAGGCTGGGAAAAAGACTGACATACAGTCACATGAACCATTAACACATACAGCATACGCAGTGTGATCCTGCAATGGCAAAATCACATTAAAAGTTTGATTTACGTCAATAAACCTGGCACTATAATACTGACAAGAATTTTGCTCTAATGGGCGTATGAACTGAAATGCTACCAGAAAGAGAGGAATAGCCACTTACAGCAATCTCTTTCCTGCATGACCAGTCAAAGAAAGGACTGAGTTTTTTTATGAAGGTCCAAATACTTCAAAATTGTGATCTTCCAACAATCCACAAGGCAGCAAAATAGACTGAGAGGTCCTTTCAAGAACTTGAAACGGAATTCAATGCCCTTGTCTTTTTAATTCGACTAGTGCCAAGGAGTCTGTTTAAAAAATTGTGAAACTGGTTGAGCTGTCTAGCAGTTCATGTACACCTGTTAAGATGGTACATCCATACTTCTGCTTTTTGACATAAATCCCTGAAGTTATGGAATGGGCAACAGTTTCTCTCCTGAGAGAGCTGTAATGGTACTCTATGACAGAACTGACACTTAAGAAACAGAAACAAGTTTTCTTCTCGCAATCTAGGTATCGCATTATGCTATTTCAGAGTTCACATGTTGCTCTAATTGCTGTTTACATGGCTTTTGAAAAAGAGTCACTGGAAATTCTTCCTAACACCTACATCATTAAGTATTTACATTCAGGTCTAAGATGTCTTGTAAAATTTTAATAGCATACCCTCCTATTTGAAAAAACACTAACAAAACCTCAACCCAAATCCTAGTTCATATATGAAGCAAAACATTCTTAATACTGTCTAAACTGTCATTTCTTCCCAAAGCACAAGGATGTTTATGCTCTTGCCTTACGGGAGATAAACAGAGCAGCATACCACTCCATATTTGTAAATGTTAACTCTGCAAGGTAGAAAATGACTTCTGTATGCACCAGGCTTCTGATTTTTCACTGCTCAGAAAGCCATAACATGACATATGGGTATGTGTAAATTGAAACAACAAAGATATATGGCCCTGCCACAGAAAAACAGGCAGTCTCAATCTCTATTCCACGTATCATCTTGACCCCAAGAAACTTTACAAAATTGTCTCCAGATTTTCATCTTAGGTACCAATCCAGTGGCGTAATAGTATATTTGGGATAATTCCCTGAGTCTGTGGGTCAGTTGCAATCTCAGATCTGGTGTAGATCAGAAGTAACTTTCCTAGATTCAGTGGGGATGACTCTGCTGCTGCAAGCATGGCAGAACTATACTACTACTTTAAAAATTTCCAAGAAAATGCTCTGAGATCTACTATGTGTAACATACTGACCCACCAACTGAGTATCACGTAAGGTAAAAGTACTCACACCGACATTTAGAAGACTGAGAGCAAAGAACCCTAGAAAAGCCCTTTTATGTGTATGTGTCATTCTAGAATAGACTCCTACAGGCATCCTGGTTAACAGAACATAACTGTTTGCCAAATATGTACTTTAAAAATAGCAGTCAACTGCGTGGCATACTTTGAGTGGTGTTAGAGCTGTCTAGGTTTTGTAATACGAAGACTGTGTTAAGCTACAACATGCTGCCAATGGAAAAAGAAGTGAAACAGCAAAAATCTGAGCTGTGTAAGATTCTTGAATGAGTACTCGGTAGGGAAGGTTAAACCTTAACAGGAGTGTCTTAAGTTTAATCTATCAGGGCACCTACTCAGATGACAAAACATGGATTTAGGATCCCCTTTGACTAAGATGTTTATAGTTTGGCAACTATACCTACAGTTGGGCATCTAAGGAAAAGTGTCCGGCATACCAGAAGTTTTTGTACCTACAGCCCTAACAGCATGTAGATATTGACATTCTGCCTAGAGGAGCCTTAGGTTCACTCATCTTTTAAAATCTTGGTAGATTTCAGCTCTAGCAGTCTTTCATTTTTGGAGAAACTAATGAGATTTTTTGCATTTCTGCTAACTCTGATCAATCGATAGTTGTTCCAGACTTTCATGTCTCCCTATTAAAAAACAAACAAACAAACAAACAAAACCAAACATTCCATCCTGTTTGACATCTAGCTCACAAGCTCAGTAAAACAGAAAAGCAACTTTCTATTTGTTATTACTGGACAGAATAGTATTAACCTCGACTGGGACAGGACAAGTTATTAATCTGCGGCATTAGAAATTCGTTTGTGATCACTATTACTGATCCTTTTGTACAGACAAAAGTAAGTTGAGGAAATGGTTGCTGCTGTTTTCAAATGAACGCTAATTGTGCAATTTGGAATTTGTTTTTGACTCACTGTAGGTTCGCAGCAAGAGCAAAGCAGCTAAGGCTGGACTGCGTGAGGGAGATGAGGTGGTGTCTATCAACGGCAAGCCTTGTGGAGACTTAACCTATGCTGAAGTTATCATTCTGATGGAAAGCCTGACTGATGTCCTGCAGATGCTTATCAAGAGGTACAGGAATGCTCAGAATGCTTCGGTGTGATTCTGTTCAATGAAGCGCATGAAAATGCTGGTTTTGAATGCACTCATTTTACAGACTTAACACTGCGAGCTTCTGATAGTCCTCTTATTAATGCCTGTAACTCTGCTTGTCTGTATAGAGAGGGAAGAACGACAGACAATTTGATCTGAAGGCATTACTGTATATAATTTGAACAGCACAGGTCAGGCATAGAATTCAGAGTACAGTCTCCAAATGTACCGATTTTATTTAAGTATTAGTATTTATGAGGTGATCACTACTATATCTGCATACTGCAGTCTTGACTTCAATTATTCTTTCCACCCCTTTGAAGTAGTGAAGTGTTGTTATTCCCCATAGATAGGGAAGTGAGGCTTACAAAAAGCAAAGCCTGTATAGATGGAGAAGGTGTGTTACACAGATATGCCTTGATGATGACATGGCAAATGGTCTTCTTGGGTGGCAAAATGTGTCAGTAGTCAGGAAGGGAAGAGGGTCTGGAAATCATGAATTCTATTTCTGTAGTTGTTATCACTTTGCTAGATGAGGTGGGCAAGTCACAGCTCTCTGGGTTTCAACTTCTACGTTTATAAACACTGATAGTGAATTTCAGTTTTCTTTGAAAATGCTTCAAGCTTCTTAGAGAACCTTCCCATAAATTTGCAAGCAAGCCAGCATTACCACTCACTGCACATCAGTCTATTCCAGTGACTGGTTTGTAATCACTATCAGTGTAATATACACAATCTTGAGTTCAGAATCACTTACAGTAAGCACATTCTTCCCAGACTTTGTGAATTCAGACAAGATGAACTCTGAATTACCTTCTGTGCTCAGGAAGAGAAAGAAAAGAAGAGTAAGAAAATACCTGAGACTTCCACACTCCTTGTAAGGAATTATGGTTCTACCCTGAGCTACTGCAGTTTCCTGTGTCCACTCTCCCACAGGCAGGACCAGGAGGACAGAAGGGGTCACAATTTGTCACAACAGCTAACAGACCAGTGTCACTGGAAAGGCTGGAAGGACTCTGGTGCAAGAAAAGCACTTGTGTCTGGTTACCAGGGATGTCTAAATAGCACGTGAAATTCCTCTGTGGTTTCTGCAACCTTCACATGGGAACATTCCTCAAGTGTCTAGTAGTTCAAATTTACAATCTGCCTCCAAATGAAGATGCTCTCAAGGAGTATTTATTTTATTTATAACAGACTTTTTGCATGTGGCCTGGGCTGGGTAATGTGATGAGATCAGGGGAACAGCGATAGCCGAGAATTACAGCTTATCTTCTCCATAGTGCATAGCTCTTGTTTCTGGTTTAGCAGCTATTTGAATGTTCCTCATGTGATATCTGCATTCTTATGTTTTTAATTCATAACATGACTATCTGAACTGCACTTGTAAAAATGGTATTTGTGGCTGACCAGCTGTCTTCTTTGCAGCCATAGAAATAGCACCATATGCTTTGACTCCTGCCTGTTGCTGCTCTATAACTGATACCTGAGTTAGTCTGAAGGCCACAGCCCTAGCTGAAAGTGACAGCACATCTTCCATTCATTCCATTGTCTCTGCTTGAATGTATGGTGAACAAGACACATCCTGTAAATCAGAACCAAAACAGACCACATAATTCACTGTTTCATGGAATAAAACTGTGTCTGTTAGAAATCTTCAGGAAATTGCTGCTGATCAACGCTCTGAAAGTAACTAAAATGTTCTAAAGGAATTCACTGTCAAAATCTTTTAATTTCTTCTCACTAGCTCATCTTCCCCAAATCCCAGTCCCAACTGGAAGTATCCTGCAGGGTATAAAAGAATAAACTGAAACATTTCTCTTCCCTTGCCACCTCCTTTGTGGGTAGTAGCCCTGTAAGCACTACCACCAGAAGGATTCTTCAGGAAGTGTCCTAGCATCCTTCAAGAGCAATGAGAAGCAAATCCTTCCTTTCCTGAGTAGCCACTTGTTAGCAGCCATCTCAAGAAAATGCTGGAAATCATGAGGCAAGAATATAGCCTAATTAAAGTGGCACTCCAGTAGTGATCTTTACATCCAAGCATCTTGTGCTGGCAGGGAAGAATATTTCTCCTTGGGAAGCTTCTGACTGTTCCTGAACTATCTGCATGCTAGATGAGATTTTCATAAGCATTCATTGCTGGCCTAATTCTGCTCTTACTGGGAGGAAAATTAGGCTTTTAAAGTATTTATTACAATGCTACTTGGCCTTTGGTGTCTACAAAAAAATTTCCCAATCCCCTGTAAACTACAGTCAGTTACTAACCAGCAGTGCCCACAAAATCTTGGGTTCACAGGATCAGAGGAAAGAGACACCCTGCAGGGCAGGCACTCTCCAGAAGCCATGTGGGGAAGCATCCTACCAACCTTCCTGACAATTGTTGAACAGATGTACTGAGAAACATCAAGAGTGAGGACAGAAACAGAAACGCTTGCCTGTCCTTTTCACATCAGTGGTAGCAACTCTTGGGCTACTACTGAATCTAGAAAGAAAATGTCTAGGGGGAAGAAGGGAGTGTACTCAGTTTATACCAAAACGAAATGCACCACACAGGGAGAAAAAAAATGACTCTCAGACAGACCCTGCAGTGCTGACACCATTTCTTCTTTTCTGAAACTACACCAGGGGTGTTCCCACAGTGAGCTGGAAAGACCTGAAACAAAAAGAACAATTTGATAAACCAGAATCTTAAATGACATAAAAGAGATCAGACCCAGTATTCTGTCTCTTGACACATGGATACACATTGATGTTTATATAGAGCAGAAGTATATCCATAAGTAGCAAAGACCTTTTAAGGTGGAAATCTTTGTGTCTCACACATACACACAATCACTCAGCTACCAATAAAGGCTAGATGTAGCTGGCCCAGCCCCAGGTCTCATATCTTACAAGGAAATGTTTACAGATTTCTGTAATTTATCTGTACTTAGGAGCAGTACAGTTGATCATCCAAATAGCATAATACAATGGAATCCAGCAACACTCACAAGGAGCTCCGTAAATTAAAATCTGTCTGACCTTTATGTAGCTCCATATGTTGTTTAATGGATGTTACACATTTTGTGCTATTTAAGGCAGACCCAGACTGCAACAAACAGTATGCTGCATAGCCAGAAAAGCAAGTGACATTCAAGTTTCTTCAGTGCACTGACAGATTTATTTCTTCTGTTGCTTCTTCCAGGCTTTCTTTGTAGGGGCAGTCCAAAGTTTCAGAATACCTGAGGCCTGATTTGGATTTCAGAAACCTCCATAATACTTGATATTGATAGTTTTCTACATACCTACCACTTCACGCATTTGAATAAGTGCTTTGCAACCTTCTAGTCAACAGAAAACCTTAATAACATGCTGCAGTCTTGCTGTGCATTAAATGGTTTCTCTCAAATTAATAGCAGTCAGTACTGAAAGAAGCTAGAATGTACATCAGGATTCCTAACACCAGTAAAACAGCCTGACTGGGCCAAGGGAATGAATCGTTTTAAAAAGGGAGCTACACTGAGGTATGTAGTAGGCTTCAGGAAGTCAAAGTAACATTTGACAGTTAGAAATAGATATTTTTAATTACTAGGAAATATTGTATAGGTTCACTACACTTTTACACTGGATCACTGGAATAGGCCCAGAATGTTTTAATTATTCCATGATATATAAGGATGATGATCCTCACAGGAATTCTTTGAATGTGTATTTTCAGTATTCATTCCCCTCCCTCTGATCCTCATCTAGCACATTTCTATTCCTTACAGAGTAAACTGCCTGGGACAGAGGATGGTGCCTAAAACAGTTGCAATAGTAGCCACAGAGCCAAAAATTAACCACTCTTCTGGTGCCGTGCAAAGTTAATTTTCTCATGCACATGGGAAATATGAAGAGGTACTGTCCCAGAAGTCTCAGCAGCATTTGTCTGGAAACACTATGATAGAAATGTGTCTGTGAAAGCATACTGATGTTAGGAATGATATAATTCAACAGTGCAGAAGGATGTAACAGGTCATTGTTCTACCGCAGTAGTGTAATCCCCCTCTTACTGAACTGTTAAGTTGAGGAATTTTGAAAGATACACCAATTTAAGACCTCTATATTCTGGGAAAATTTCTCTACTTCAATGGACCTGCCAGCAGGTACCACAATTAATATAGGGGGAAAAGCACAATACAAAAATTGCTTTTGTAACTGTACTTGCAATTGCTGTGCTTACAGCAGCTTAATTTCTTGAATTACTTGTTTATATATGCACAGATCCTCCAGTGGAATAAATGAAACCTTGAGTGCTGAAAGAGAAAATGGGAAGGACGAGAACATAAAAAATGAGGACTATAGGGAGAGTACTGCACTGCAAAATAACACAGCGAACGAGAGACCCCATGGAGATTTATGCATCACAGAGATATACAGTGAGTCTCACCAGGAAGGAGGAGAAAGGAACATACACTTTTCTGAAATGAAACAAGAGACCACACAAAGCCAAAGAATTACTTCTAAAGTGATAGGCACCTCCAAAGTGCTTGTGACAGATGAGAGTGCTCTCAGAGGGAAGACAGAAGAAAGAAGGCCAGGTACTATGGTTGAGCTGCAGTTGTCCCTCTCAAATGATGCGCACAAAAGCATCAATGCTCCTGCTGTGACTCTCTCAGGGGCAGAAAAATGCACCCCTTCAGGAAGAGGACCCAGTGTACAAGATGGGACTAGCCCTGTAATCACGATTCCCCTGGGCATGAAAGAGGGCAACATCCAGTGGTCAAGCAAAGTTGTCCAGTTTTCTAATGGCAAAGAGACCAAGAGAATCCAGGGTGCAGCTCCATCTCTCCCCAGGGTGGAAGTGATCCTGGACTGTTCAGATAGGGAGAAGGAAGCACCCAGGTCTCCGGCTGAAAGGGGGTGTGTTGATTCTCAAGTGGAGGAAGGGCAGTCAGAAGCACCTCCTTCCCTCCTCTCCTTTGCAATCTCATCAGAAGGCACAGAGCAGGGAGAAGACAACCAGCACTCGGAAAGGGATCACAGACCTCTCAAGCACAGGGCAAGGCACGCAAGTAAGTATGTCCATCTAACCATTTGCAGTGCCTGGGGCTATCCTTTGTAACTTTAAAAATAATTTCAGAATTTAGAATGCATTAGGAAAAATATGTTAAGAGGGGTTTTTTTCTGCAGTTTTCTAATTTTCCCTCTCTATTTATTCTTTTAAATTATGTTTCTGTTCTTGCTTTATATATTTTTTCAGGGTAATACCTTGCTCCTGGTGATGAGCCAAGAGTATACTCATGCCTTAACTGCTGAATAACTTCGCTTAGATGACTTTGTCCAATTAAAAGTACTTATATCTCAAAAAAAGACTGAATTCTGCTGGTCTTCTAATGTCTATTCAGAGGCAATCTGTAGAATATTAACAAAAAAAGCAAGTTGCTTGCACATGTCTAAGTGAATCCTGTGGATTTCTCCTTTTATAGAAAAAACTTTATGTTGTCATTTGCACCATCTAAAATCAAAGCCATGCCACTGCTCTTAAAAGTTAATAAAAAAAAGCTAGAAGAAAAGCTCAATGTTGCCTGCAGAAGAGATTTTGACAGACACTAGCATGTGTATAACTGTTACATGATCCTTTCAGTTTTGTCAGTCTTCTCTAGACTGAAAAGTGAACATGCTATTTCTTCTGACTCCCATACCCAGAGGTCAGCTTCAAAATGTGTCCAAGAAGTTTACATGAAACTAAACTTGCAACTGGATCCAATAGTCATTTACTGACTGTAAATATGCATTATTTATTTATCTATTTATTTACTATTTTATTCATTGGGATCTCTTTATTGGCTGCTTGCTATTTCCCAACAATGTTAAGAATCCTGTCTGTGGATTTAGCAGCAGTATGTCAAAGGTGCTTGAATGTGTGCTGTGATATACTGTAGCAACAAGCTATTTCATATGCAGTGTTGGAACTAGTCAGCTAACCCACTGCTAATTCCTCTGTAAGCATATTTTTAGCATGATAACCATTTGTATCTTATTGGCAAGTGGATTAAACAGTTACTTTTGCCTAAGTGTCTGTATGCAATCCACATATTTTTGGCATATTAAATGAAGCATAAAAGAAAAGTGCACATGCTTTACATTTTGGCTGTGAAGTTAGAACCAACTGTGGGACTATTCCTGTCTTCTTTAGAGAATTACTTGCCTGTCTTCTGCAGGCAAAAGTACAAGGAATTGCATATTACATTATAGGCTTTTCTTTCAAGTACGACATAGATTCTGTCCTCTTCCCACCTCATCTATGACAATCTCAACTCCTTCTAATCCAGTGGCAGGACATTATCTTTAGGAATCACTGATGCAATCTATGAAAGTGTTTGCTTTTAACATTGTTAGTATTTGTAAAATACTGTCTACAAATTAAAGCAAACAAATTCCCAAGCATAGGGGAATAACCTGTGTGCAGCAAATAGTATGCGTGGATTTCGTTAAATTAAAAGTTACAATGCAGCATTTAAGTCTAAACTAGAGAACATTTATTGTAGATGTTCGATCTGTTCAAAAGAATTTTTTTCTGTAAATTGTCATCGGATTACATTTACCTGAACAGGTAACATTTCCTCTGCCATCTTTGGAAACTACTGATTAAGTAACTATCCAGATGAATTAAGGAAAAATATGCTAACAAAATGGAAAGTTTTACTTTCTGCAGAACTGTATGGGTACTTGATGAATCCCATTCCCAGAATAACACTCACTGCTGATGCAAGTATGTTATCTGAAAGCACAGAACTTACATGCTTTCTGTTTGCAGAGTCACTCTTCGCACTAAAGCCCATACTTCTGGAAAATGTCCTTAGTGACTATCGTAAGCATTTGGATCGTCCAAGGACTGAGCCAAGGATTTTGTCATTTGGCTTCTCTCACTATAAAATCCTATAAACTGCTGGTTTGGGTGCCATGCTCTTTTCTCTTTTATAGGTTCTTGTGAGAACCATTGGTCCAGCCACGCTGTCATCTAGCATAATGGCAAAACTCCAGTTGTCTTTAATAGGAGAAGTATCAATCTCCATCTACTGACATGGCTAAAAAGATCCATGATAGAAAATCCATCATATGGCTTTCTTTACTGAGTTTGCTTTATTTATGCCTGCAAAAGATATTAAATAATTTACTGTTCTATTTTCATGTATCAAAGGCATGTTTGGGTTTTTTTTGTGAATTAAGTAAGTGGAAGGTGACCATTGATTTAGACAGGAACAGCTGTCTAAGGGAGAAGCTATTGAGGCTGTCATTCATGAGATGTGGTGGTAGAAGGAAGGGAAGGCAACAGGGACACCACCTGACTAGCACTGTCCCAATGAGGCACATGCTCCATGTCACATAGCAAGGAAGGAGTCATGCTGATGTACAGTGCATCTATCAGCTTTACAGCTGCACCTATTTCCATTTCACATGACTTGATGAAAACAGATAATTTATGCTTTAAGAAATACGTATCATTGATACATGCTAGTGAATAATCTTGAGAAGTTAGTTGAGCCCCCTTGATTCAGATCTTAGATGTGTATTCATCCCTGCCACATTTTCAAAATAAATATTCTGAAGCTCTTACATCCTATACAATTCTGTATTACGTTTCAGGCAAGTAATGCTTGTTAAAACACGGACACCTGCTTTCATTGAGTACCATAGCCAAATTCCCGTGTCTTCCAAGGGGCTGAAAGCTAATGCTAATAGTTTCTGTGTATGCCTTTGCGGATATTTACTTGCTTTCAAATAGCTATTACAGAGAATCATACCAACTTCTAGCAACTATACACATTCTGTAATTCACACGAGTAAACACATAAATGGCAGAAGCTGCTACCACTGTCAGACAGAATACAGTTTCATTTGGTCTCAAATGTTAAGCTTATGGGTCTGTCTGGCTGCGAATGTCCCTTGTAAGCCTAGGAAGTGTGGTTAAACATTTGGCAAATGCCGGACCACAGAAACTGAATAAATGAAAAAATACTGTCTGCCTGTTGCTGCTGAGATTACTTATGGGAATAAAAATCAAGGAAGCTAGAAATAAAGACACAGGTGACGTTCTTGTTGAACTAAGAAAGCCCTAAAGAAAGCGATGTGGCCTTTGAACTTGCATGGGTGTGACTCTAACGAATGCTGGATATGGAATTTACATCACAGTTGATACTGTGGGAAAAGCTCAAGTATAATGACCTCTCTGTATAAAAGAAAATAAATGTTTTGATATGGGGAAGGGGGCAGTAGGTAAATTTTGGTATAGATAAATGCAGAACTATTTGTTGTTAGTCTCCTTGTATTTTTATGGGCTGCATACAATTAATGTGCACTTTGATTCTTTCCACAGGGCTCCGGCGAAGTGAGAGTCTCTCAGAGAAGCAGGTCAAAGAAGCCAAATCTAAATGTAAAAGTATTGCACTGCTGCTGACAGCAGCACCCAATCCCAATTCCAAGGGGGTGTTGATGTTCAAGAAGCGTCGTCAAAGGGCGAGGAAATATACTTTAGTCAGCTACGGTACTGGGGAGTTAGAACGTGACGAAGACGAGGGTGAAGACGGGGAAGGTGAAGAGGGGGACAAAGAAAACACTTTTGAAGTGAGTTTGCTTGCAACAAGTGAGTCAGAAATAGATGAAGATCTCTTCTCTGACATTGACAACGACGGTAAGATTGTGACATTTGACTGGGACAGTGGTCTACTTGAGGTTGAGAAGAAGATAAAAAGTGGAGACGAGATGCAGACACTTCCAGAGAGCACAGGTAAAGGGGCCCTCATGTTTGCCAAGAGGCGTCAGAGAATGGATCAGATTACAGCTGAACAGGAGGAGATGAAGGCACGCACAGTGCATACAGAGGAACAAAGAGAAGCAACCATGTCGGAGAACTTCCAGAAAGTAAGTTCTACAGTCTATCAAACAAAAGAGGAAGAAATGTCAAGACAGCAGACCTGCGTGAGCAAAAGCTACACAGACATGAGCCAGAATCATAGCAAAATGCTACAACAAAATGGCTTTGGCTTAGCACCAGACACAAACCTCTCTTTTCAGTCCTCTGATGCTCAAAGAGCAGCTTCTTTGAATAAAATAGCAAAACCCTTCCCTTCTGGGGTTCAAAATCGAGCAGCTGCACCATTTTCACCCATAAGAAACGTCACTAGTCCTCTTTCAGACATACCTGCACCACCTCCTTATTGCTCTGTTAGCCCACCACCTGAGGCTTTATACAGACCTGTTTCAGCTCCCGCAGCCAGCAGAGCTGCCCCATCTGTGTGGTCACCCAGTGAGCCAACAGAACACATAGCATCCAGAGATGAAAGGATTGCGGTGCCAGCCAAAAGAACCGGGATACTGCAAGAGGCGAAGAGAAGAAGCACTTCAAAACCTATGTTCACTTTCAAAGAAGCACCCAAAGTAAGTCCTAATCCTGCCCTGTTGTCCCTTGTACACAATGCAGAGGGCAAAAAAGCTACTGGAGCTGGTTTTGAGTCAGGACCTGAAGAAGACTACCTCAGTTTGGGAGCAGAAGCTTGCAATTTCATGCAGACTCAAGCATCTAAACAAAAGGCCCCTCCTCCTGTTGCTCCAAAGCCTTCAGTCAAGATCTCTCCTACTGCTGGTACTCCAGCTTCACCAGTTTGGTCACCTCCAGCTGTGGCTTCTAGCAAGGCTCCTTCTTTCCCAGCACCAGCCTCACCTCAGGCAGCATATCCTGCACCACTCAAATCTCCACAGTATCCTCATTCTCCTGCCCATCCCCCAAGTTCTCTCAACCTAGCTGGTCCTTTCAAAGGGCCTCAGGCAACCCTAGCGAGTCCAAACCATACACCCAAGACAACCACACCAGGCACACCAAGTGCTGGAGAAACAAAGCCACCCTTTGAGATGCCACCAGCTATGAGCGGAAAAGGAGCACAGTTATTTGCCAGAAGGCACTCTCGAATGGAGAAGTATGTGGTAGATTCAGAGACTGTGCAGGCAAACACGGCACGAGCCTCGTCTCCAACTCCATCTTTACCAGCTTCTTGGAAATATTCATCTAATGTCCGAGCACCTCCACCTGTTGCTTATAATCCCATCCACTGCCCATCTTATCCTCCTGGTGCTACCAAGCCTTCCTCTAAGTCCACTGCTGCTACCAAAAACACCAAAAGAAAACCTAAGAAAGGTCTCAATGCTTTGGATATTATGAAGCATCAACCTTACCAACTTGATGCATCTTTATTTACTTTTCAACCTCCTAGTACTAAGGAAAGCCTTACTACTAAGCAGACATTGAAGCTGTCCACTTCAAAGCAAGCTCTACCTTTAAGACCACCTAGTGCTGGCTCTCCTACTAATGCTCGGGCATCTTCAGTGTACTCCGTGCCAGCCTACGGTTCACAGCCTTTGTTCCAGTCAGAGGCCCCTATCCCAGTAAATGAATCATATGCACCTATGAGCTACTCTGCATTTTCTAAGCCGGAAAGCACCACATCCTCTTTGTTTACTGCTCCGAGGCCAAAATTTTCAGCAAAGAAAGCTGGTGTCACTGCCCAGGTGTGGAAGCCATCCATTATTGAAAAGTAACCCTTATAGCTGAAACTTAGTGTCCATTTTGCTTGCAATCAATTGTTTGCAGTGGTAACCTGGCACACAAACAATGCCAATAGTGTTCCTTAGCTTCCTTAATAATGTCAGATGTATCACCTCAAATCTGGGTCCAAAATATTTGAACTTTTTTAAGGAATCAACATAGATACAAATTTTAGCATGTTTATGCATATTATCAGATGCTTTATACACAGAACATCCTGAAATGAACAGATACCATTGCAGTAAGTAAGCAGGACGCTAGGTTTTTGCTTTAGGACTCCTATATCAGAAATAACAGTTAACAGTATTCCTGGTATGTCAAATTAATAGAGAAGAGCTCGCTTTCCATCTTTCTGCCCCTCCCCACACCCCCATGTTCTAATGACCTAAGGATTTGAGGACTTTTCTATTTTCAAAGAAGTGCCTTATTAAATAATATTAAGACATATTACTAACATAGCATAAAATAGATACAGTGTTAGACTCTGACTGATCACTAATAGAATACATCCGGATAGACCTTTGACCTGCACAGAGCACCACTGAATTAAGTCAGAATCTGTCTTGGCTGAAAGGTCCTTCCACAGGAATCTGATGATCTGCCAGGGGCTTAGTTTGCAAGCTACTTGGATCAGCTGTGATCCAAAATCATGAATTGCCTCTGTCATTTCACAGAGAATGTGCTATATGAGATGCTGGAGTGTTCTGAAGAGTAAAAGAGGGGTGGAATGACTGCTGGAAAAATTGTTAAAGATTTCCCATTTTGGGGAAATTTGACATGTTTTTAGCCAAAGTTTGCCTTCAATACAGCAAGATAAAAGCCAGTAAATCAAAATTATTGAACAGGCAGAGAGGTGAGCTGGGTTTTGCAGCTGCAATGTAATGCAATAGTTTCTTGTGAAAGCACAGTCACTGAGAACTGAAGAGATACATATAGTCGAGGGTACTGATTCTTGAAACCAGAGTAGTATATGCCACAGAAGTTAGCACTTAACTGTAAATCATAACTACGATCATGTGCCCTCTCGTACACATTTTATTATTTTCACTTGTTGCTTTACAGTGCTTCTTCACACTTGAAACCCTTTTATTCTGGTCTTATACTTTCACCTATTACTTGTCATATTGGGGACTAAGGATTGAAATACTGCTACTGTAGAAAATTCTTAAGTCTGTGGTCTTAAAACCTACTGTGTAATACCGCAGTGAGTAAACAGTCTTGCTGAAATCAAGGAGCTATATTTGAATAGTTTAGCATGTTTTCCCAGTAAGCAGTCCTGTTGCCATCAGTGGTGCTACGTCTGAACCAAGGTGTTGTTTTACACAACGAAGGCTATCAAAATTCATCCCAAGTGTGAAGCTAAAGATTTTAAAGCACCACTGTGCGAATAAAGGTGGCAGAACCTGTTGATATATTTTTTTAAATTACCATTAAGGTAGCTACCAGACTGTGGATGTTCTATATCATAAGATTTTAGTAGAACTATTTGTCTTGATGAAGAAAACATTCCCCGGTATGAACAATATCTCCTTAGTTTGGTCCATGATGGTAACTCAAACTGCAATCAAAGTTGATAAGAATGCATTTGGTTGTACATGCAGAAAGCAGACTGGAATCAAAGTCTAACCAAGCCAATAAAAATCACTTCTTTCAATTCTGGACCTCCAAGAACCTACTCTCCCCTTTATATTTAGGATTGGGATACTGACTGTGTCAGAAAATGACCAAGTGATCCATCTCCCTCTTAAAATTCAAGAGAATTACAGGGAATTTTGGGGGAAAAAAATATTTTGGAAATCCCAAGAAAGAATTACACTGCATTTACCTGGAAATAGAAAGCAAAATTTTAATCCTTTGGAGATCTCCCTTCTATCTCTTTTCCACTGTCAATATCTGTATTCTTCTTCTATCATTAAACTTGTCCCTTTCCTCTCTGCCTGTCTGGCTTTATTTTCTTTGGTTTAGTTGCTATTTTTTGTTTCACATACAGGCTGACAATATGGGAAATCTATTTTCTACGCTATCCTCTTAATATGAAATCTCCTTCCTCCCTTTCT